ATTTTTATTTGTTGTTTATTAATTGTTTACTGTTACTGTTGCAAATTTAGTGAAAGCGAGTGAGGAACTCAYACAACCGAAGCTGGAAACTAATGCTCTTAATGCCTCCGACAAGCAGGCCATTAACGACAGCCCATCCGCAACAACGACCGATGCAAAGCCAAAAACCAAAGACACAGAGGAGCCCGCAGTGCAGTCGGAGAACGTTACATCMTTCAAAGAGTCTACACCAGCGCGCAGTGAAGTGTCTACACAGCCGTTGCGCAGACATTTGCTACATCGTCTGCAGCAAATCGGCGTAGAGTTGGCTTACAAAGTGCAAACACGCTATCATTTGGATGCCGTTCTGCATTTAACACGCGCTGAACAGTACGATATCATAAAACTAGCGACACATTTGCACGCGCTCTACTCGCAGACGTGTCAGTCACCCGGACGTCAGCATACCGTCGAAGTGATTGGTTTGAACAACAATATGCAGTTCTTTATGGACCTTATACAGAAGGAGCAACGCTTACAAGCGCAACGYCAACTTGCCTCACCGGGCACCAAATATAAGAGTCCAGTGCTGAGCTATGCGGTGGATATGGTGGATTGTTGTGTGCGTCATTGCGAGCAGCTGGACTATTTGATTGARCATGGTCAGAATATATTCGAATTGGCGAAGAATCATGAAACTTTCGAGCCTTCAGTATCGGCTGTGCTGCAGGAGCTCTTTGTGTTCCTGAAACCCTCGGAAGCGATACAAATCTTTGCTTATGACAATATMACGCCACTRGTCGACGTTATTACGCGTTCCATGGARTACATAACCACTTTTCCGGGTGACCTGATTATGGGTTTGCGCATATTGCGTCACTTGGCAATCGGTTCGAATAGCAAAGCATTCCGCAGCTCACAAACCGAGGAGCTGAAACATCGTTTTGCAACGCTGCAGTTCTACGCCGCCGATGGCGTACAAACAATTATGCAAATCTTAGAGAAATTGTGCTCGTACTTCGAGCAGCCGGGCTTGCATACGCCAGCGCTAATGACGTTGCAAGGTCTTCATTGTTGTCAGATAATACTCCCCGCTTTGCAGGTGCTACGCGCCATGCTCTCATTTGCAATACAGTGTCGAGATGCGGAATTCAAGGATCTAACCGCCATTGATCATCTGATGAAGGCTTATTTCCTTTTGCACTATTTCCCCGCCGGCAGTCAAGCGGCGCAGGCAATCGCTGAGGCCAAACAAGAAATCATACAAATCTTCCTGGCCTACACGCAGCCAAATGAACAGGATGAGGAGTCGCTGCACAAGTCATTGTGGACGCAAATGATTCGAGAAATATTGAAAAACATCGATGGACCCTCCACTTTCCTACCAGGTGCGTAACATACATATTTATACCCTGTACGGGGCATGTTATGTTTGCTACAAAGTTTTGTAATATCGATACGGAACTATTAGARACCAAGCAAGACCGAGCTGAGTCCGTCAGGTTTTATACGAACTACTCCCTCAGTTGATGAGATATCATTGTAAAATTTTGTGTTCTCCGTTCTCTTCTCAAGTAGCTGCTCATTTGTCGGAACCGCCGATATCAGACCACTATAGCTTATAGCTGCCACATAAACTACTGATCCGAGACAAGTCTTTGTATGGAAAACTTTTGCATTCGACAAGAAATCTGCCAGAGATTCGGCACAGAGTTTTGTTCAAGGCAGCCCAAAGCATGTTATTCAGATCAGACTACTATAGCATATAGCTTCCATATAAACTGACCGATTAAAATCAAGATAAAAGTATTTTTTTTTATATTTACAGGGTTGCATGTGCTCGCCGAGTTGCTACCACTGCCGTTGCCCATGCCGCTGCCCGCCGACGTGCACRTACCCGAAACGCAGAGTCAACGTTTGATCACCGAACGCAAACTGTGGTCTGCTCATTTGCATCCGCTCAGCGCCCAAGTCGCCAAACTGATTGAGACTATTGCACCCACCACCTTTCCGCCTTTGGTGGATCTCATGACGAAAGTGTGTTTACAACTCGCCGACTTAGCGCCTAACATGACGCTGCTCATCTCAAAAACACTGAGCGATTTGCTSTGTGCGGAATGGCAGTCAGCTTCGGGCACWCCGACTGCGCAATTGGCACGCCTACTAAATTTCTTTGCGCGTCTAACCTCATTCGCGGCGCTGAAAATTTCCTCCATCTCTATACTYARCGGCAAGCTGTGGGAACTCTTTCAGTCGGTGCTCTGCTATACGGGCGCTGCCTCTGAGGTGGTACACCGCGCCCAATTGGCCATACACAACATTTTGAAGAGCTTCTTAGATCCCTCTATTTCTTTTGTATCGCCGAAGTCAACAGCATTACCAGAATTGAATTTGGCCGCGGCATTGCCGGCGAAAGAGCTGATACCGCGCATAATTGAGGCTACATTGACGAACCTTTTCAACAGTGATGCGCAGCAGCAGGTGTGTGAGTCGGCGTTGAACAACTTYAACTTGCTAACGGAACTGGAGTGAGTTTGCACTTATTTTTATATTTTGAGTTATTTTCAAGTAATAAAAAAATAAATTTTCATACGCTTCTCAGCATCACGATGCACCACTTGACACAGCAATTGAAGCAAAGGCGCGCCGAMTTCCAACAGTGGCTTGAAAAATTCCTTAGCGTTGCTGAGAGCGTGGAAGTGCGTCTCGCCTCCATTGAATCGCTCGTAAACTTACTATATTCGCTCACTCATATTGCTGACCATTTACAACAACAAAAAACATTACCCATACGCACCTTGAAGTTGTCAACAGCAGAGCTTCACCACCTACTTGGCTACCAAAAGAATGCCGCACCCACACTAATGCAACGTTTGAGCGACGCGCATACGAAAATCAAAAATAAAACGACAACACAAATAAAAACAGAAGATGATAGCACTTCTGCCAGSAAGCTGCTTGCTGAAATCACCACCGAGTTGGACGCCACTGACGCCAGCGCAAGCGCAGAGAGTGAAGACGACAACGCCGCCGTCGGTGCGCCCGCCATCGAGCCAACGCTGCCGCAAAGCGAGGGCATAGTCATGCAGTTTGCGGCGCGTCCGATTTTCGTAGAAGTCAACACGGCGGTAGATGAGCCACAACTGCTAGCACGTTATTGGTTGCAGGTGGACTGCATAGATTTGGATGATAGCAAATATGAGCGCGTCGCTTGCGATCTCACCGAATTGGCTGCAGAGTGCTTAGCGCCCGAAACGAATCTCACAAGCGACTGTAAGCGTGTGTTGCATTTGTCCGCATCGCCGCAATCGAATCGTGAGCGCACACCCACAGCGCCGTGCTTCCGYACGCGTCGTGTCGAAGTGGAGCCGAGCACGGGACGGCCGGAGAAGAAAATCTACATAACACCCGTACGCGGACGTGGTTTTGCGCGTGCGCCACCCTCACGCGGCGATCTCTTCCGCTCACGCCCGCCCAACACATCGCGTCCACCTTCCTTACATGTCGATGATTTCCTTGCATTGGAGACATGTGGCGCGCAGCCTACCGGCCCGACGGGCTACAACAAAATACCGCCCATGATGCGTGGCTCACGCGTCGGTCGCAATCGCGGCACACGCATGTCGACGGCAGCAGCGTTTCGGTGAGTAAAACTATAAGCGACGSGAAAAAATGAAATTCATTTAAATATTAGTTCACATTACAGCAAATCCAAGGTGATGCGCACCGCATCGCCGTCAACTTGGGCCGAAGGCGGCTCACCGCATTATCGCAGTGCCACCACCGAACCGCACTTTGGCGACACACATTACTCGAACAGTTCGCATTTYAGTGTGCGCTCACGCGGTCGTGGCGGACGTCCACGTCCCTATCTCCGTTAGTGTTTAAGCACATGCGTTGGCAAATAATTTAAGTTGAATCACTCTGCTTTTTTATTAAAAACAAAAAAAAAAACAAAAAAAAAAACAAAAACAAAAATAAAATACATACATAACTAAATTGCGTCTTTAAAACCAACAAATTTATGCCGTGACCACAGTCGTTAGTCGCACATCGTGTGGTTCCAGCGGCAAAGTGCCCTCCTCAACGATTTGTTCGCGGAATGCCAGCGCCATCAGTATTGGCTTCTTCTCAGGATAAGTATCGAAATGCCGCTTTAGGAAACCATCGTAATAACCCATGCCATGACCCATGCGACCGCCACTTAACGTAAACGCCACACCGGGCATCAGGAATAAATCAATGCCGCGTCCTGCATAGAGGTAAATGCCACAACACACATTCAAAATAGAAATCACGCAAAAATTTCAATAATTATACGCACCATTTGTCAAGGCGCTCTCACGTCCGTCCTTAATRCTTGGCTGTTTAATGTGCCATTTGGTTAGCGGCAACGATTCATAGTCGGCCCAGTCTTTAACGCGCACCATTTCCATCAGTCGGCCATTGTAGGTGGGCACAAACACATTTTTCTGCTGATTGAAGAGCTCACGCAGCAGCGCCAATGTGTCCACTTCGCTCCCAGTGCTGAGGTAGATGCTCACATCCTTTGCCTGATGAAATGCCTCGGAGGCGATTACCTGCAAGACATTAAAAATTTTATATCACTCTAAACATTATTTATTTGTAATCGCTTTACTCAGTTACCTTTTCATAAATTGCCTTCGACTGYTCTACTATAGACTCGGCGCTAATCGCCGGTATGACTTCGGTCTTCATGCGTTGCCGCAAGACTTTCTTTAAAGGATTTCCAATTGCACTAGCCATATTTCTAATTAAGTACTTTAATATAAAAAAAATAATAAAATAATTATTTGTAATCCTTTTACTTGTCTTGCGCGTTCTYTACTCTGCCTTGCTTAAAATTGTACTGTCACTAAGACTCAAAATTTGTCCGCTTTGATGACTTTTATAAGTCTTATCTGCGTGTTTTCAAACTAATACMGCCTTTCTTATCTCCTACTTGTGCATCCACTTTGCTGCTCGGGTTATCACTTCAAATTTTGAGCAGTTTGCAGCATTTTTGTTTTGTTTTGTTTTGTTTTTGCACAGGCCTTATGTTTGTGCATAAAAGCACATATTTGTGTTATATCTGGGACAATTGATTGTAAATTATTGAAGTTCTCTTCAACAAGCATTTTCCCCGGTTTGCTCTCAGTGTTTATGGTTTTCGTGCTATTTACTATATTATATGTATATGTGTRTATATAGAACAATGTGGGATCCAAAAGAAAATTATTTTCTAATTTTGATATTGGCAAATGTACTTCAATTTCATATACAATATTAATCCCTGCCTCCGATAAGTGCGCTCTACATAAGCAAGCAGCGAGCAAAACAAAAAGTAGTAAACAGAATTGATAAGAATAAAGCTTTCCGCTTACAATGGTGGGCCAAAACATTTTATACCCAGAAAACAATTCATTTAGAACAAAAATTGTTGTTTTTTTTAATAGTAAAACTTTGATTGTATTCCTGCCATGGAAAAGGCTTAAAAAATTTTTTTAGGCCACTTGGTTTTCCTTCAATCAAAAATCCAGTAATCACATCATATAATGATAAGATTAGATTAAGAGCTCGATTCTAACAATGATCGTATTTGGACAGCTTAAAACGCTGATCCGTTGTGGTATTTAAAATTCCTAAATAATTGATCATAATACTCTCACAAATCGACAATGGCGTTGAGGCGGCTAATGTCAGTTGCACATATATCTCCTGCCGCCGAGGGTAAGACTGTCCAAGTGTTTCAACCTTAGTCTTGCAAAGACTAGAAAATGGAGGAGAAAGTGCCTTAATGTTTGCATTTCACCATCCTCCAAAAAAACTAAGGCTAAAGCCAAACTTCCCTCCTAGCATTGACTCAGCCATTAAAACCACACTGAGCTTCCCTCAGCATTAAATGCAGTCCATCGGAGATACTAATAATTTTTCCTCGAGCCTACTACTGTTGACATCTTCTTCATTGTCTTTTTCTCTATCTCAAAAAAGGCAGAGAAACTATAACTACTTGTTGAGCTCACAAAAACATAATTACACAGTGTGTCTACTTTGCCTTAACACTTATACTGATCTATGCAGATATATGTACACAGGCACAACTATTCGTTATTTACAACAAACACCTACAATGAAATGAGTTTCTTATCTTTAACATTTAATATTATTTTGCAATAATTAAGCAACGCGCGATATTGGCACATGATAGTGGCGATGTGTGCTAGGATTATCGATATCGATTATTTATGACAGTTTGGAAAATATAAACAAACAATTAGGAAGTATGATTAAATATATATTTTTTTTTTAATTTGTGTATATATTAGGGTAAATAAATATAATTAACAAAATACCATATTGAACTCTTGGGTATTATAAGTAAAAACAGCGCTTTCAACTACAAAATTCGTTTATGCACATTTGCGGGCAAAATATTGAGGACACAAACACCAATTGGCGCTGTTCCAAAATTGTTTCTCAAGTAATTTATTTTTCGTCTATTTACACCATTTCACTACTTCGCCGGTTGTGCGTTGGCATTTGTACTCTTAGGTGCGTCGTCGCTTTTGGTTTTCAGATTCTTCAGCTGTTCCTTTTGCTAAAGTTTGTGAAAGTGAAAACAAAATTATAAAAATTWACTAATTTAGGTAGTGAAATAGCCACGCACCTGCTTGTAGAARAATTCCTCCTCTCGTGCTGCTTCCATTTTGCCGAAAGAGCCGCCTGCCTCGCGTATRGAGCCACCACCGCCGCCACCCTTGCCTGCGCCRCTACCCAATTCACCGACTTGCGACATTTTGCGACAACTAAATTYGTAAATKTAAATTTTTATAGCTTATCCGCTGCTACTAGCTATATTATATAATCTATGAAGAAGCTGGGAATTGACTTACTGTTGTTTCAACGCTTGTACTACAGCGATTGAGCGACGTGCTAGCATTTCTGCGCTTTTTATTTCACTGTATTTCAAAAATAAGTGTTTTTATTATTGTCACTAATTTGTTTAAAAATAGTTTTATACACTAATCGTAAGTTGTTTTCGTTCTTAAAAGCGTTTCCTCACGTTTGTCTGTTTACCCCAAGTGCGTGATGAASAATGATGAATATTCGATGAAATTTGTGCAAGGCAACAGCTGTTTCCAATTTTGCCTGCGCCTAAATGTATGTTTGTTTTAATCAGAGTGACAACAATTGCGGAGGTAACGCACTTGTTAATTGAATGCCCATTAATTAATAAAAACGTAAATTTGTTTCGTTCTGTTGCGAGTTAGAACTCGCGGATAACGCTGAAATGCCGTTTTTCATACAAAAATAAGACACGAAATTAATATAGATAATTATTGTCCAATATTTAAAAAGAAATACAAAAAAAAAAAAAAAAAAAGTCCTATGTTTTTGCTGTTGTGGTTGTAGCGGCAATGTAGTTAATTTCGCATCGTTGAATCGTCTGTAATATCTTTTCCTAGACTTTGGTCGATTTTTCGCTGTGGCAGGGTTTTCCAAACTCWAGTTACCTCTGGGATATTTGGTCTAAGACCAGAAGTCGTGAGCTGCTTCAATRGCAATACCTCGCGTAGGCCCACATATTKTCCAAGTCCATAACAACCAATTCGGGCCACWCATATTCGGTAATCATTCACAGTAACGTGCCGGTCTTGACCTTCACGGACGTCCCGGTCCATAAACCTCACCAAACCGTAATATTTTCGGGGTGTAATGGTGACTCATGGAGTACGTGTGTATTGCGCGCTTAAAGTTGAGGCCACTGACTYCGAATWCCGGTAGTAAATTTTGATAATTTCGACGCGTTTGGATCGTATATCTTTCCATGATAAAAGGGCTAGCCTTACTGAAGAGAAATGTCAAACGAGCGGGAACAAATATGGCGTCGTTTGCTGTTTCAATTGATCCACTTTTGTAACTCCCTATTGAAAACCCCTATACATGACTCGATGAATCCATTAAATATGTTCATTTAACCCTCGAGTACTCACCCATACCGTTTCTAGAAAKAAAAGAGTCAACTAATTGGCATGATGTTTCTTTTGGCAATCGYTTAAGTTTTATCTTCCAACTTTTGAAGGCAAAATATCAAAAATATATGCGTACATTTGTAATTCGACATATATGTACATATAAAAATTTTACTAAATAATAAATATGTATGTTGTATATTTGTATATATATAAATGGCGCTCTTGGGTCACATATGCAAGAGTAAAACATATTCACATATTGATTAATTCTATGTTCTATCCGATTTTTCCACGTTTATATGTATGTGAGTCTCGATATTCTACCGACACACATACAATCACACATTTGCTGTGCGTTGGCAACGCGCTTTCACCGTTATAACTACAATATWATTTGTTTGTGTGATTGTGCGTACGTGTGTGTGCAAATACGTGCAACTCTGCTCAGTTGGGCTTTTTTAAATTTCCCACATTTTTTTCCCGGAAACGAACGTACATAGTTCTAAAAAATGCTTGAAAAAATATGAAAACAAAAAACGGAAAAAATTTAAAAAAGCCAACTCTTGCATATAAACTTATGTTTACCAAAAAAAAAAAAAATTATTTTGTTGCTTAATTTTTTCGTCTGTTTCAATAAACAAATAGGAATAATAATTTTGAGAGGAAAAAATTTTCACTTCGTATATTGGTCACTGCGTATTTTAGCCATTACTTCCGCTTCATTTGAAAACTGCAAGGGGCGACGACTATTTTCCAAAGCAATATCTTCACGCATTTTCTGTTCGGCTTCCAAGTGCATTTTCTGTTCGAGCCGACGCAAGTTCATTGACTCCTGCAGCGAAGAAGACGAAACACACACACACACACGAAAGAAATACGAGTGAGAAACGAAGTACATACAATAATTATGCCGCTTCAGTAAGTACAACAAAGACAAGAAACGAAATTTTTCGAACCTACCTCGGTTAGGAAATACAGCTCCTCCATGCAATTCTTATGYTTGTTCATAAAGCTCTGCTGACGATGTGCTGCCGTCAGCCGATCGAACTCTTCGATCTCCTCGATTGCAGTGTTCATTTCGGTGGTGTCATAACCGGCGCCGCGCAGCGTCTGTTCGCGCATCTTGAGCAAAAGCTTTAAGTCTTTGAGCTTGAAGTAGCTTTCCTCCTTAAAGCAGCCAGCTAATTTCTCGAGACCACCGCCGGGTATATGCGCACTATATTCATTGGTGAAGTGACGACTGGCGCAAAAACTGCAAAAACGGAGGAAAAAAGTAAATTAAAAAATTGTTATTACGTTCATCTCGAAGTCTGCGTATTTAGGTGTGCGTACCTCGGAAAATTTTGTTGTGCACCCAAAAGGCCGCGTTTAATGATTCTCGCCAACATGTTCTTTTTTTTCTTAAAAAAATATGTTTTTTCGTACTAAATTATTTGATTTCCAAAAAGTTTGTACAAATTTGATTTGACGTAAAGTWCCAAGATTACTGTTGGAAGCCATGTAAAGGGGGGTTTCATTTCTAGCACAGCATTTGTAAATTGATCAATTCACAGTTGAAACAGACTGTCTATGGTGATCGGTATGTAATACAGTGAAGCCTAGTGAGTGTTGGCTATTACAAATATTTAGAAAAAAAATTTTTTTTTGAAATGCTCCGCGTAGAATCCGGTGGCAACATTACGATTCTTTTGGCGCCGCGATTTGATGATACGGATGGATAGAGGAGGTCCGCAGGATTAAAAAATGTATGYACATATACCCTCCTCTGACTCATAGTTTTCGAGATATTTCTTTCTTTCAAATATATCAAAAATTTACACTAATTGTGTATTTTTTAAGAAAATAAATATATCTTAAAAACTATTTTGCACATCGTGCCAATCAGTTCCGCGAACCGATAAATTTATCTTCTTCTTGTCTTAGTCTAATRTAATGTATAGTAAAACCAATATTTTTACTTTAAACTGAAGATTTTATTTAACATGGCTGGAATTATCCGACTAAGTTGGAATATGCACCGCTTTTCGGTAACTYATTGGCATTTTGAAGGTAATTCCACTTTGTCTGTCGAGTCGCTGTCGATGTGTGTGGCCTGACGTCGTTTTCATGGCACACAATTCCTCTCTTGTCCGCTTCTAGGCGATTGCTTTCATCAGACGGTTCAATTGTTGACAGCACAGATCAAAATTAAATGTTGGTCCGTGGGAAGTGACCTCATGGTAGATGATTCCTTGTCTATTCCATTAAACACCCATCAAATCCTTAGTGACAATCTAACCTGCCTTTGCTGCTGTTTCAACCGACCCTCATGGTAGATGATTCCTTGTCTATTCCATTAAACACCCATCAAATCCTTAGTGACAATCTAACCTGCCTTTGCTGCTGTTTCAACCGACCCACTGCAATTCGACCACGACTGTTTACGCTAGACGTTGKCGTAAGTGATCCACTTTTCATCCCCAGTGAACATCCGCCTCTGAAATGGATCTATTTTGTTGCGGTTGAGTATCGATTCGCAGATTAAAATTAGCTCCATGAGATTTTTTGCGTTCACTCGTGTAGCATCCTTACATCGAGATTCTTTTCATAATCAGTCTCATTCTAATGATACCAAACAGTTAGTTTTTTTCACTTCACTGTCGACAGTCACAACTTTGAAGTCGTAGATAATTTCGTCTGTCTTGGTAGCAGCATGAACACCACCAACAACATCAGTCTCGAAATCCAGTGCAGTATAACTCTTGCCAACATACATGTATGCTATTTCGGAATGAGCAGTCAATTGAAAAGTAAAGCCCTCTCTCCACGGACAAAGACTAAACTACAAGTCACCAATCATCCCCGTCCTGCTATATGGTGCAGAGGCATGGTCGGTGACAACAGCTGACGAGTTTCCAAGAGAAAGGTTCTGCGGAAGATTTATGGTCATTTGCGTATTGACAACGGCAAATACCGCAGTCGATGGAGCGATGAGCTGTTCGAGATATACGACGATATTGGCATAGTTCAGCGAATTAAGAGTCAGCGTCTACGTTGGCTTAATTATGTCGTCCGAATGGATGAAAACTTCTTGGAACCTGGATACACTTGAAATCTGAAATTGGCTCCGAAAAGCGAAGAGGAAGGGCGCTATAGTAAAGTCGGCGTAAGCGGTGTCTATGCCAATAAAGGCGATGAAAGAGATATAGGTTAGACCTTTCTTCTTTATTCGTAAAGTTTTTACTTACCAACTTCGCACCTTGAACTGTGACCGACAACATCTTTTCCATTTCTATATCAAGATTTYTTGCCAAAGCCCAAGTTGTTTTCAACTTTCCTAGAGCAAGCTAGATGTAACATGGTAGAAGATTTTGTTTCGACCACAACTAACTTGAGATGTGGGACCTTGTAAAATCTGTGTAAGGTATTAGAAAGATGATTATCATTTCTAGTAAATGACTTTAAAGCTAAAATTATCTTAGATCCTACAGTTGAGTTTTTGAAAAACTAGGGAATATGTTTCCTTTGCATGCGATTTTTTGTGCTCTTTTATCCTAATGATGTATGAGATTAGATTGAATTTTTGTTCATTATTTCATATCCCAAATTCGGTTGATTTTATATTGTGGGGTTAGAAAAATAACATTTTTTATGAGTTCTATTATATTGWGTTTTCTTCCTCAAGGTCAATGCAATGTTAAAAACAAATTGCGATAAATTAAAAAATGAGACATCTCTAAAGTTTGGCTGATATTATCTTACTTAGCTTTTACTCCACAACTTTTCCTCTTCCTAACAGTACCAATACATCTTAGATTACACTTACGCCAGGGGTTTCATAAACTTTCCTTCATACAGTCCACACTTCCATTTACAGCCCTTTCCTTATCAGATCTTTGGTTTCATCAACTCACTGCTTTACTGTACTCCCTTCTAAACGTGTTATATTACAAATCCAGCTCTATTTTCGAAATTAGTTGTACTACTACGACCTACGTAGACTAAAAATAAGTTTGATGTTTTCCTTTTCGTTTTTATCTCACCAAAATTGATTTGTCAAATAAATTTTTGTCCAAAACAGCGACTTTGAAGCCATAAAAATTCCAACTATTACTGCAAATGTTTTTTACCAGAATGGTCAGCGGTTTTATTTGCTCCAAAAACTCCAAGTAATCAAAAATGGTGACGTAGTTAGGCGCCTTCTGTCGCCCTAACGGAATGTCAGCCAAAATCAGCTGATTTAGATATTTTTCTACTAATAATTGATGACTCTTTTATTTTACAGCAAAAATGCAAACAATTCAAACCAACATCAACACCAACACCATCAACATGGGCCCACACAACCGCAAGGTCAACACGCAAAGTCGCCGAAATTACGTAAGMAGACGGAGAAAGGAAAGCGTTCATTGTCGAAAACCGATTCGAAGAAGTCCATATCCAATTTGTTGAAAACGAAAGGCAAGGAGACGGTGGAAAAACCCAGCAATAACAGCTGTAGTAACAGCAATTACAGTAACGGTAGTAATACTGGCAACGYCCACAAGGAGGCACCTAGTACTTCAAAGTCAACTTTGAAACCGCCAACAAAAGTAAAATCGGGTAGTTGGAAGCGTTCGGAAAAGCAAATATCCAGTTATAATGGCATTTGCGTTACCGGCAAGAAGTCGAAGTCGCTACGTAAGCGCTCACCCACTTGGTTGAAATTCCCCAATACACCGGTGAARATTGCTGAAAAGGTGACTTATGTGAGTACTGCCGATTCCACATCAGTTTGCCGGCCAGGCACGCTCTATTCGGATGTRCTCTTCGGCGCCGGTTCCTCTTGCCTTGTGAAAATCAAAACACTCACACCACGACGCACTGCGAATACTGCACAGAAGAAGCTCACAAAAGCGCTGCTAAAGTGCAATGGTAATGAGAATGAAGSCGCTTCGGCTAGTGAAACTGAGACGGATCGTGAACACTTTCCCAGTCTAAATGGTGGCGCAGCGTCAGCTTCTACAAGTGCACCACCAGATGGCAGTCCTCAAAAGTGTAACACACCGCTTTCGGCGGTCGGTTCACCTATGTCTACGMCGTTAACATCGAAATCGACGRTCACCAGCACAACGAACGCTAGCAAATCSACGCTCAATGATCCTGCATTGCCGCTAGTTGTCACACTGCCCAAATGCGATGATGACGCCGATGTTGTAATACTCTCCGAAGCGAATGGTGTTGGTGGCACTACTGAGAATGGTTTCAATGATGTTTCGTATGGCAACTACCTGGAGCAACATTTCAAGCAAATGAATGGCACCGCTGCTACAGTGGTGGAGCCAAAGACGTTGGTTACAAATATAAGTGTTGCGGGGAATGACACCTTGGAASGCACAAATCTCGATGCTGKCACCGTCGTACAGGCAGATGTGACCCTAAGCGGTTGCTTTCCACAGATTGCCACAAAACCCTTTACTATTGACATACCGCAGTGGAACTTTCTGGATGCAGATGTCAGCACTACGGACTTCCTATATCAAGACGAACACTACCTAAAGGCGGAAAAAATGGCATTATCGGGTCTGAAGTTAGCACTGGGCAATGGWAGCTCTAATCCGCAGCAAGCCAAGTTCAAATTTTGAGTAAAAATAGCAATACAAAAACTTGTTATAATTTTATTTAGTCTTTACATTTTTATAATAAATAAAAACATAAATGTGTAGCAACTTCTTTACTATACTGGCGCTTTCTACGCTTACGCGGTTATAGCCGGGTAGCTTGATGAATTTTCTTATGCTGGAATCTAGTACTGCAGATAACCATATTTCRGAACCCGGCGAWGTCGATTAGCCTCAACCCATTTAAGAATGYTYCCTCATGGATGCTGAATTACCCGACCATTSTACCAAAGATGCCTTCTTTGCCCACCTCGGCTTAATGTCGCCAAGTACGATTTAGACATCGTTCAATCGCTCATAGAAGCCATCTTTAGTCACATCGTCCATTTTTTCCGTCGGGGCCTTGGTGCAAATCAGCGTTATGTTGAAGAACTTCGCTTTGCTGCGGATTGTAGCTAGACGTTYTTCCACTGGGGTGAATGTCAGGTGGCGATCTCTCACCCCATCACGTATCCTAAATCGAATATGCGCTCCTTTATATGGCCACTGTAGTAAATGCCACAAGGAYCTACTCGTTTCAGTCCTTGTCCTATCCATCGCACTTCTTTGACGGCGTTGATGTCAGTCTTTATATTCACTTCGTCTTGCCGTATCGTTTTCTCGCTGTAGCTCAYCTTCAAACGGATGTTYTTTGGCTACCCAGAGGATACTTAGCCTAAGACCAGAAGTCGTGAGTTGCTTGAGCCGCATGTAAAAGAGTCGTTYCTGGCCACTGCCAAGTAAATGACGCTCAGGGAACTTTCCTCACKTGCGTAAACTTYTTCACATAGAGGATCCACTTTAAAGTTTAATTGATGTCCTAGGCTTCATTGGCAATTGTGGCGTAAGAATATGTCATAGATTGGTTCAAGGGATGTTAGAGTTTATGGAAAATCAAGTTAGACCGAACTTTATATTTTTCAATTTTTCTTTTTTTCTAAATTTCTTTTAAAATTATTTATATGTTTTTAGATTAATTTTATTTTCAAAACAAATTATAACGGTTTTCTAATTTTTTWAAAATTTATTATGTTTAAAAAATTATGTTTTTCATTTCCCGTCGTTTCGACAACCCTGCTTCAAAGAACTGTGAAACTTGTTTGTATTCCCACTCAAATAACTTTATTCACAAAATCACACACACGCTCAATGCGCCTACACTACACTCTATTTTTCTCTCCCACTCTCTCACTACCAGCACACACAAGTACATCTGCAAATGAAAATGATAGGGAAATTCCAGAGTCCACAATGCAACTGAGCGCGCTGGAAATGCAATTAACAGAGAGAACGCATCGCGTAGCAAAGCATAGAACATGATAAAGAGCGAAAATGTGTGAGTGTGAACAAATGGCGAGCGGCTCCGGTAGTGGCGGCCATCGGAAATTCTGGTATAACGCAGTCAGCAGTAGWTGAACGCGTTGAGTGCTTGCGACATTTAGACGTGGTGCGGTCGTATCGAGAAATTGTATGCGGAACAAACGCACCGAGTAATAATAATAAAATAGCTAACACAAGACTACCGAGCAGAAAATTTATAGAAAAGGTAAAAAAAAAAAAAACGTACAAAGCGAATTGAGCTGCGTAACGTGTGTGAATTAGTAATAAAGAATATTGTGGCGAATAGCGTTAATTTATATTAAAAAATATATAACGCAGCGTCTGTGTGTATGTATATACATATGCAATTGCCGAATTACGCGAAAAACGAAAGGCATACTATCTCTGAAATAAACGAAGTGTGGAGTGCGCGGCGGAGCAACATTTGTGCGTGTGAGCAAATCTGTGTGTTGGCGTAGCGGCAGCAGCAGTTAATGTAGGCGCCGTCGCCGCAATATATGTATGTACACTGCGTAAATTCAATAATAGTCAATTTTTTTTTTTTTTACCGTCTGTGGCTTCTCTACCATTTTCATACAGTGCCAGTGTCTTTTCATACAGTTTTAGTTTGGCTGTTTTTGTGTTTTTTGCAATTCAGCTGGTGAGACCAAGTGCGCGAGTTGCCAGCTTGGTTTGATAAATGTCTAAATAAATCWCGTTTGAGCGCAAAGTGTTGTTGTATTGGAAAGTAAAAGAGATAATAATAGAAAAAAGAAAGAATTAACTGTGTTTGGTGCTATACATTTGTTGGCCAACTTTTTTGTTGGCTAAAGCTAAAATGCCGGTGATTAGCGCGCGCCTATGCGTCAAGACAGTGCAACGAATCAGTGGAATTTTACTTGTTTGTGAATGAACGAGCGCCTACCGACTTATGGATTGCCGCAGCTCGCGMGTTTCGGCATACTTATTTGCATGGCTTGAGTGCAACGAAACGCCAACGCGCTCAGCATTTGTAACGCCGTACGCCTCCACAGCGCCATAATATATCTATATATATGTACAACATATTTAAAGAAAAAAAGTGTAACAGCGCGTCTGCAAGTGCTCCACTGTAGGCGGTAAATCGTACTGGGCGTTTGGTCGGTCGGGTGCCAACAACATTGCCATTGTAAAGTGCAGTCATATGCAATGTCTCAAAATGGCTGCATACAAAAAGAAAAGTGTTGTTCGAAGTTTAATTTTGCTATGAAGCAGCAGCAGCTGCAGCTAGCAATGGAAATTAATTAATTAATAAATATGCTCAATTGTCGAGTGCGTGCGTTGGTGCGTCGTGTTGTGTTGCGTTATTCATGTCAATTTATTGTATTTTATTTCTTTGTCTAAGCGCGTTCGTGTGTGTTTTCATTTTATATGTATATATTCCAAGTTTTTGTTTTCTTCTGTCTGAGGGGTTTTGTGCGTGCGCGTGTCTATGTCAACTCCGCAGAGGCTGTGTACCTACGTCGATAACGAAATATGTGTATACTGCGCGTTGTCGCATACCGTTGCGTCTCACGCCATACTCCGCCTTTTCTAACGTGTGCGCCCTAACGTAGACCCGTTGCTTATGGCCTTTGTTTTATTATTATATTCAAGCTATRTTTTTTGTCATATTCCTGTGCAGAATACGGTGTTGTCGTTATAAAAATCCTCGCCTCTGTAAATATTAACGTTATTATATTCAACGTAAATACCGTTGTGGCCCATGTGCTCTTGTGCAGCTTCCGTCACCGTTGTAAAYAACAACTTCATAAGCTAAACAAGCAATTTCCAACTTTTTAATTTCATTTATATTATTATTTTTTATTTTAACGCATTACTTTTGGCGCTTTCTTTTTTATTAGTACTCACCGATCTAAACGGCGTTTTCTCGTTTCCTTTGCCGCATATATACCCATTTSGGCTAAGCGGCGGCCGCTTGTGTCATCGCAATCATCAGCATCATCATCTTCAAGTTCTTCAACGCGTTTTGCTCTGTTTTATATCAAGTTATATATATATTTACTTTTATAGTTGTCTATTATGCTTACACCCTGCACTCCGGTGGCTTTAACTCCACTTAGCCGTTTCCACTACAGCAACTAACCAAGCCGATACGTTCGTTGCTTCGTCGATTTTTTGTTTGTGTTTTCTTACTGGCAAATGTTCAATGTTTTTCTTTTCGACTTCATGGCGGCGGCGGCGGCAGCGCGTACACTTAYGTATGTATGTATTTATGGTGGCCACTTTGATGTGTGCCGACCTGTTCCGTCCATGTTTGCCAGCCTTCCTGCTGATGGTTTAAWTTTCGTATATTGTTTTTATTACATTTAATGAAAAGGGGCCACAACACGCAACGTTCAATGCGTTTATGCGGCAAATGCGTAGGCTTGGTGGATAAACCGGTAGTCGGTGGCTATTTTTTTCGCATAAGAATATGAAATAAGAGAAAATAAC